AACACTTGTTTTTGTTTGAGAAATGTTGTTAAAAAGAAAGTGACCATTTCTTTTTCGGCGCGGCCCCCACCAAAAGATACATCAGGGGGTTGCCAGAAGGGGGATGTGCCCCCTTCTGTTTGGGGGGTTTGAAGGGGGGCAGAGTCCCCTCATCGCCAAGAAAATTTTTGGACTTGTGAGAGGCTGTAAATGACCCCAGATTGATCATAAGGTAACGTGTAACCAACGCTGAAAAGCATTTGACTCTATCTCAATCCATGAGAAGTTTGCAGCACTTTTGAAAAAATCAATTTTGATGGAAAAAATTCAACGCAAATAGTGATTTTGGCAATTTTGAGAATGTCCCCTCGTTGCCATGGTAACAGAAAATTTAAGCCTGAGCATGTGTTGTTGCAAGGGCAAATGGTCCAGCAGTCAAACATTTGTGCCAATTTGATTTTAGTGTTGAAGCTAGTTTTTATAGTATTAATATGCAAATTTTGAACTTGTAAACGGGAAGCCTTTTCAAAAATGAAAACAGGCCATTTTTTTTTCACCAAAATGCTCATTGAAGCAATGGGTTAAAGAAAACCCAAAAGGCTAGAAGCTGAGAATAATTTAGATGAAAATCTTTCCCCAATGAGTGTCTTACCAAGTTTTGTTCAAATAAAAGCCCTGAGGGGTCAAAATTTGGCCCCCGCCCCAATGGGGGGTTTCAATTGAATTTTTTCCCCCTATATGCTTAGTAAAAAAACTTTAAAAAAAATCTTCTTTTTAAAAGAACTTAAAAGAAGCTAGAGCTATAGATATTTAAGCATGAAAAACATGTTTAATGGGGTCTTTACTAAAGTTTGTTGTTCAAATAAAAAGCCCCTGGGGTCAAAAATTGGCCCGCCCCCGGGGGTACATTGATTTTTGTTTATGTGGGATTTGCAAAAAAAATTAAAAAACATTCTTTGAAAAAACCCCCAAAAATAGTGGTTTTGATTTAAACATGAAACCCTTTTCCCGTGAGTGTCTACAAAGTTTGTTCAAATTAAAGCCCTGGGGTCAAAATTGGCCCCACCCCGGGGGTCATTGATTTCCTTATATGTGTATAGCAAAAACTTAAAAAATCTTCTTTAAAAAAACCCAAATAGCTAGAGCTAAGATATTAAGCATGAAACATCTTCTAGTGAGTGTCTACAAAGTTTGTTCAAATTAAAGCCCTGGTCGGTCAAAAAAAATTGGCCCGCTGCCCGGGGGGTCATTGATTTCCTTATATGTGTATAGCAAAAGCTTAAAAAATCTTCTTTAAAAAAAACCCAAATAGCTAGAGTTTAGATATTAAGCATGAAACATCTTCTAATAAGTGTCTACAAAGTTTGTTCAAATAAAAAGCCCTAGGGTCAAAACTGGCCCCGCCCCAGGGGTGCTGTCATTGTTTTTAACTATATGTGTATAGTAAAAACTTTAAAAAAATCTTCTTTTAAAAAAAACCCAATGAGCTAGAGCTTTGATGTTTTAGCATGAAAACATCTTCTTATGGTGTCTACCAAGTTTGTTCAAATAAAAGCCCTAGGGTTAAAAAATTAACTCTTGCCAGGGGGGGGGGGGAGAAGGTCATTGTTTTTCCCTTATATGTGTTAGCAAAAACTTAACATCATGAAACATCTTCTAATGGGTGTCTTAATTCCAAGTTTGTTCAAATAAAAGCCCTGGGGTTTTTAAACTGGCCCACTTCGGGGGCCTATATACAGGTGAGCGACCTCGGCCCTCTTGTTGTTTTTATGAGCTTATTTTGCTTCATGGACTTGGTCCAGGTGGGTGTTTATCAGCTGATTTGCCTCATAAACATCAAAAGTTGGTAGGTCCGTCAATAAACTTTTACTTTAAATGACATCTCCTCATAAACCACTAAGCCCATTTCATCCAAACTTCACAGGAATGTTCCTTTGGTGGTCACCTTTAAAAATTGTTCAAAGAATTTAATTCCATGCAGAACTCTGGTTGCCATGGCAACCGAAAGAAAAAACTTTAAATATCTTCTTTTAAAAAACCCTAAGAGCTAGAGCTAAGATATTTGACATGAAGCATCTTCTAGTGAGTGTCTACCAAGTTTGTTCAAATAAAAGCCCTGGGGTCAAAATTGGCCCCGCCCCAGGGGGTCTTTGATTTTCCCTATATGCATATAGTAAAAACTTAAAAAAATCTTCTTTTAAAGAACCCAAAGAGCTAGAGCTAAGATATTTAGCATGAAACATCTTCTAATGAGTGTCTACCAAGTTTTTTCAAATAAAAGCCCTGGGGTCAAAATTGGCCCCGCCCAGGGGGTCTTTGATTTTCCCTATATGCATATAGTAAAAACTTAAAAAATCTTCTTTTAAAGAACTCAAAGAGCTAGAGCTTAGATATTTGGCATGAAACATGTTGTAATGGGTGTCTACCAAGTTTGTTCAAATAAAAGCCCAGGGGTCAAAATTGGCCCCACCCCAAGGGTCATTGATTTTCCTTATATGTGTATAGCAAAAACTTAAAAAATCTTCTTTGAAAAAACCCAAATAGCTAGAGTTTAGATATTAAGCATGAAACATCTTCTAGTGAGTGTCTACAAAGTTTGTTCAAATAAAAGTCCTGGGGTCAAAATTGGCCCTGCCCTGGGGGTCATTGATTTTTCTTATATGTGTATAGCAAAAACTTAAAAATCTTCTTTGAAAAAACCAAAATAGCTAGAGTTTAGATATTAAGCATGAAGCATCTTCTAGTGAGTGTCTACAAAGTTTGTCCAAATAAAAGCCCCTGAGTCAAAACTGGCCCCGCCCCAGGGGTGTCATTGTTTTTAACTATATGTGTCTATAGTAAAAACTTAAAAAAAAATTTTTTTAAAAACCCCAATGAGCTAGAGCTTAGATGTTTAGCATGAAACATCTTCTTATGGGTGTCTACCAAGTTTGTTCAAATAAAAGCCCTTGGGTTAAAATTGGCCCTGCCAGGGGTGGGGGGAAGGCCTATATACAGGTGAGCGACCTTAGGGCCATCATGGCCCTCTTGTATAACTACTATCCTAAAACGGTACTGTTCCCAATAGAAAATAAACATTAAAATTCCCAATTTTAAATGTTAAAATTCCCAAAATGGCTGTTTCAAATTCCCACCAGGTCAATTGATTTCTCTGAAATCATTTAAATCCAACATATTCATATAAATCACCACTCAATAGTTCTTACTGGACAGTGGAAGCAGTTAGCTGTCTTTATTTATGATGACTAATCTTATTTGTAGCTGGAAAAATGCATAATTTTTTTCCCAATTTAAGTCAAAATAACGCATTTTTTCCCAATCAGTCTGGTCCAGGCACCATTCCCAAAGTAGAGGGGGAAAAAAGCTGTGAAATGTAGTACTTACTGTTACGAGACATTTTGAATGATGTTTACAGAAATTAACAGACGCTTGTTTCGGTATTGATTTGTCCCTAGAAGTTTCATATTTAAACAGTACAAAAATTTAAAGGGCGATTGCACCAGAAATCATGGTCGGCTAAATGCATTTTAAGAGAAACAAAGCACAAGCATCATAAATAATACGTTATTAAAGGCTTAATTAATCGGAATTGTGAAACTTCATCAGAATTGTGAACAGTTCCGTTAGACCCAGTCTAAAAAATTGTGAAGGTCCGTTTGTGATTGTGAATGGGTCCGTTATTCGGTACCGCTTATATAGGGGAAAAAATCTCTGTAATCATCATGTAATTGATTACCTTGCCCAAAATTGATTAATTTAATTGTATCTTAAGCTTCAAATACAGTATAAAAGACACTATGTACTAAAGTAGAGGAAAACATATTTCTGAAGAAATTTAGCATTAAATTCTCTTTGGTCAGATTTCAATATCAATTATTATATGATGTACATAAATCACCTATCTAATAAAACTTAATTCTTCACAAAATAAATTTGCTGAAAGCAACATTAAACCACTTTAAAATTTACCATCTCACCTTATTTAATACAATAACGAATAACACAATAATAACAGTTTTTCACACCTTGTGAAATTTAGTGTCATGCAAAGCATTCAAGCAGATCTAAGGTATAGATAGGTGTTGAGTGTCTCAATAGTTGCGGCAAATTAAAAATAAAGCAAAGAATCAGGTGGTCTTAAAAGTGGATAAGTGGTTGTTCTTAATTCTGGATCATGTAACCAACCTTGTAAAAAAAAGTCTTATTACGGGGGTTGTCTTAATTCAGGGGTGGTCTTAAGTAGAGATTCTACTTTACATTGAATGTAATCAATTATCAATCAATTACTCTCTTAAAGTAATTGTAATTTAATTGATTACAGAGGCAAGTCTGTAATCACAAAGGGGTACGGCTCATTGAATGTTCACAAAATATGTATTTGATGGTAGAAAACATTTATCCTAAGTCAGAAATGAATTCCAAGTCAATTCTCATTACACTATATATTAATATAGACATTAGTATATAGTGTAATGGGTTGCACGTTTTCAAATAGCTTGTGTTTTAAATTATTATGACTGAAAAGACAGATATAATTATTTAAACTGAAAATAATGAAATGTGAAAATGTGACTGTTTTAGAAACTGTATGACTACACTTATTAATTTATCTATTTATTCATTTTTTGGTAAAATAAATTAATATTGATCAACAAAAAAATCATAAAAAAATATAATCATTTAATAATTTTGAGGGTAATATAGATTCTTTGAACCAGATGTGCCAAACACGCATTGAAATTTGAGTCAATAAAAAAATCCAGCTGAAAATCCAGATGTGGCCCATTTCATTTGTCACATGTATGGTACAATAAAATCTGAAAGTAATTGTAATTTAATCAATTACTGATCATGTAATCATACCTAGGTCTGGGACTTGGGGGGGGGGACTTTTGTATACTAAACAGTAATAGTCATTCTTTATCAATGCAATGAATACTGAATCTAACCTATCACTGGGATTGATTGTGTAAGAGGTTACAAGTTCATTTATTTCTTTTCTTTTTTTATTATCTCTGTAGGTAAAGCTGCAGGTAAATATGCTGGTGGCAACGCATACTGTCCTCGGCCCACACCAGAATGGCAAAAAGGCATCGGTGGATTTTTCGCACAACCTGATACATCTAATAAAGAAAACACAAAACCAGTAGAAATAGAATCAAGTAAAGCAGGGTAAGCTTTAATGTGTTCTTTGGTTGCAGTGTCTATTCTAGGATTAAAAATAGGGGGGATGTTTATTGAAAAGTGAGTACATTTGTTTTTCTCCTTGTAAAAGTTTCCCCCTGCCTCTGAAAAAAGGAGGGGGGGGGGGGAATTCTCAAGAATAAGAGTGAATCCTCATTACCCATCCTTCCTCCTAGAATAGACACTGTGGTTATTACTTCTTTTATACTGCTTAGCATAAAGTACTTAATTAAATTGTCTTCTGTCTTGCAGTTACAGTCTCACCTTACAATGTAACCATCAAGTTGGATATATCCGAATTTCTACCTGTTCCATACGAATGACTTCATGATTTACCCACTGTTCATGATTTTGGCAAGTTACATAACTGTGGATTCAATTTTTCCCCAGTTATTATCCCCCGCCGATTGAATCAGGAGGGGGATATAGTTTTGGCGTTATCCGTCCGTCCGAATTTCGTTTCCGGAGTAGTTCTCTGCAACTACTGGCTGGAATTCAACGAAACTTTATGGGAATCATCAATATCAAGAGGAGATGCTCATATCGTCGGCTTGTTCCGGTCCAACCCTTTAACTCAGAGTTATGGCCCTTGATTAGTTATGTAGTAGGCTGTGACTAAATAAAGGATTGCAGCACCACACTAAATACCGTATTCCGGTAAATACCGGACAAGGCGCTTGAATGATAAAATGCTAAAATATTGTCTTTTTACCCAGCGGAATGAACTTAAACAGGTCCAATTCATCTTTTCACACCGAATTAAGTACAATAATGAAGAAAAAATGTAAAATTCGGCGAAAAAAACGATATTTGTCTATTTTGTGATCATGATTTCTGCAAGCGTCTAGATGTACTGCTCCAATCCTGTATTGAGTTAAATCCTATGTAGTATGCATATAGAGTAAAAATCGTTTCCGGAGTAGTTCTCTGCAACTACTGGCTGGAATTCAACGAAACTTTATGGAAATCATCAATATCAAGAGAAGATGCGCATATCGTCGGCTTGTTCCGTTCAGACCCTTTAACTCTTGATTTGTTATGTAGTATGCATATACATGTAGAGTAAAAATCGTTTCCCCACTACTTCTCTGCAACTACTGGCTGGAATTAAATGAAACTTTATGGGAATCATCAATACCAAGAGGAGATGCGCATATCGTTGGCTTGTTCCGGTCAGACACTTTAACTCAGAGTTATGGCCCTTGATTAGTTATGCAGTATGCATATGGAGTAAAAATCGTTTCCGCGCTACTTCTCTGCAACTACTGGCTGGAATTCAACGAAACTTTATGGGAACCTTCAATACCAAGAGGAGATGTGCATATCGTCGACTTGTTCGGGTCAGACACTTTAACTCAGAGTTATGGCCCATGATTAGTTATGCAATATGCATATGGACTAAAAATTGTTTCCGGAGTTCTGGTCAGACCCTTTAACTCAGAGTTATGGCCCTTGATTAGTTATGTAGTATGCATATAGAGTAAAAATCGTTTCCGCACTACTTCTCTGCAACTACTGGCTGGAATTCAACAAAACTTTATGGGGACCTTCAATACCAAAAGGAGATGCGCATATTGTCGGCTTGTTCCGGTCAGACACTTTAACTCAGAGTTATGGCCCTTGATTAGTTATGCAGTATCCATATAGAAAAATATTTGTTTCTTTGCTCCTTCTCTGCTACTACTGGCTGGAATTCAATGAAACTTTATGGGATACTAAGAGGAGATGTGCATATAGTCGCCTTTGTTCCAGTCAGATACTTATAACTCAGATTTATGGCCCTTGATTAGTTATGTAGTATGCATACATCTCATTGGCATTTCCAGATTTTACTATTTAACACAAAGTTATGGCTCTGTTATTGCCCTGAATATTTATCAAGTTCAAAGAATATTACTGTTTATGCCATGATTAATATATAAATAAAGCCTTATGTCTTCAGTTGTTGTGTTAATAATAACCAGTACTCGGCGGGGGATATAAATTCAACGAATTTGCTTGTTTCTTTTGTAGCACTCTAATGAGTTTGGTGTATATTTTCTTATTGCCTGTATAAAACTTCAATATTTGCTGTGCAGACCTATTGTGGATACCTAATGGATGATCCCCTACCTCAGAGTTGAGATTTTAGTAAAGGTTAAGAATATGGAAGAAAACCTCCATGGTGTTCTTTTTTAAATTTTATGTATGTTTTAAATTCACTCTGGCTTTTGACCTTATTTGTTGTACAGTGCACTTTGTCTGTTGTAATATACAATACTCTGCTGGAACCAAAAGTGCTAGTCCTTTGCTACCAGTAAAAAGTCAGGACAATGAGGTTGTGCTTCTTAACTTTTCATCTTGATATCCCCAAAATTGATTATGAACAGTTGCTTAAATGGAAGCTTCAAGAAATTCAGAAGATCAATTTATCAATTAATGCATAAGATACCTTTCTAAGTCTTGATTGAAAAGAAGCAGTTGACATATGTTTTTATACCCCCAAAAACGAAGTTTGGGGGGGGTATATAGGAGTCACCCGGTGGTCGGCGGTCGGTCGTCCAGACGTCCGTGCATTTTCTTGTCCGGGAGCAATTACTTTGAAGACTAAATAATTGGAATTCAATATAACTACACACAATGGTCAAGCACATTGTGAGGAAGTGCCCAGTGCACAAAGAACCATAACTCTATCTTGACTATTTACAGAAGAGTTATTGCCCTTTTTGCTTTTCCTTGTCCCGGGGCAATAACTTGAAAACTACTGGTTTGAATTCAAAACAACTTCATACAATTGTCAAACACAATAAGGGGAAGTGCAGTGCACAAGAACCATAACTCTATCTAAATTAATTACAGAGTAATTGCCCTTTGTTACTTTTCCATTCTTCTTGTCTGGACCATAACTTGAAGACTAATAGTTGGAATTCAATATAACTACATACAATGGTCAAGCACATTGAGAGGAAGTGCAGTGCACAAGAACCATAACTCTATCTTGACTAATTACAGAGTTATTGCCCTTTGTTTCTTTTCCTTGTCCGGGGCATAACTTGAAAATTAGTAGATGGAATTCAAAACAACTTCATACAATTGTCAAACACAATAAGGGGAAGTGCAGTGCACAAGAACTGTAACTCCATCTTGACTAATTTCAGAGTTATTGCCCTTTGTTAATTTTTCATTGCTTTTTTTGTCCGGAGTATAACTTGAAGACTAATAGTTGGAATTCAATATAACTTAATACAAAGGCCAAGCACATTGAGAGAAGTGCAGTGCACAAGAACCATAACTCCATCTTGACTAATTACAGTTATTGCCCTTTGTTACTTTTCTTTGTCCAGAGCATAATTTGAAAACTACTGTTTGAAATTCAATACAACTTCATACAATTGTCAAGGACATTAAAAGGAAGTGCAGTGCACAAGAGCCATTACTCCATTTGACAAAATACAAAGTTACTGCCCTTTGATACTTTTCCTTGTCCGGAGCATAACTTAAAACGTACTGGTTGGAATTCAAAACAACTTCATACAATGGTCAAGCACAATAAGAGGAAGTGCAGTGCACAAGAACTATAACTCCATCTTCAGTATTTAAGAGTTATTGCCCTTTGTTTCTTTTCCTTGTCTTTCTGGACTTATTACAGAGTAATTCAATAAAACTTCATCAATGGCCAACCACATTGAAAGGAAATGCAACATACAAGAACCACAACTATCTTTAATTGCCCACAACCATAACTCTATATTTCAATTCTTTTACAAAGTATTCTGTTACTAGTAACATCCTCATTTCTGAAGCAGTCTTGTGGGGGTATTAATCACATTTAGTGATAGTTCTAGTTTCATTTTAATTTTAATCTATGAAACTGCACGAAGGTGTATATCATAAGTCTTTTTTAGAACCATGATAATTTTATTGTTGTAGGTCAAGTAAAGACATTGATTCTGGCAGCAGTAAAGATGTTGAACCGGGCACCAGTAAAGATGTGGAAGCAGGAGCCAGCAATGATGATAGCTAATACTGAAAGATTTGGATACAAGAAAGTATTCGAAATATATTTCCAGACAGTGTATATAGGAAATCATGATTTAATACTGATAGATTTGGATACAGAAAGTGTTAAGAATATATTTTCAGACAATGTTTATAGGAAATCATGAGTTGATGAAGTGATGTACTCTATAGTACATGTATAGCTACTTAATGAAATCAGTTTATCATTCAAATCTTTGTTGGGGAACAATATGGCTTCAAGTTTAGCGGAGAACTATAAATACATTGTTTTAATTCAAGGTTCAGCGAGGTAAAAAAGATTCCTCGTAGTCAAACCAATGTGATTTTTGTTACTACATATAATTTTATCAAGAAGCGTAATTTTGTGTGTGTATATATACTAAACAAAAAAAGAAACTTTCGCAAAGTATGTGCCAGTTGTTCAAGGGTACCACTTAGATGTTCACACATATATACATGTAGTAGCTTGTAAAACTCGTTTTGTTTGCAAAATCGGTCAGCTAATCCCCGTATAAAAGCCCGATATGTTTATTCAACGTGAAAATCGAGTTTCAAAAGGATTGAAAAACTGTACTAACATATCTACATTCAAACTTGGAGAAAGTTTCATTTTTGTTTCAGTATATGTGTGTGTGGTAAAGAAATAGGTAATCCTGCAGCCAATTCATAATTTTTTGTAGCTATTAATGTTTAAGCCTATGTTAATGGCTATTAAATGACTGAGTCATGCAGTCTTCGAAATTAACGCCAGTCCGAGGCCCGAGGCCACTAAATTTAACATCGGTCTGGTGATTATTGCAAGGTTGGTGGTCCGACGGACCAGTAGATTTTTTTGTCATGAAAAAATATTATAAGAAAATTTCATCAAAATAATGAAGCAGGGTTCCCTAAGAGATTGATCTTTTTGCCTTTTTTCAAATGAAACCCATCAATTCTGTCATAATTGTTCAAAACACAGCGAGAGATGTCTAAATTGTATTGAGTAATGGAGGCCGCCATTTTTTTTTCTTGGATATTTTCCGTACCGCACCGTACAGTTACGGAAATTAAACCATCGTTTATTATGGTCATTATTTAGCTATGATTTTGTGGTTATTGAGTTAAGTAAATATTTTGTGTGAAAATGATTTGTTTAAAGCAAATTGCGTTGTTCATGTTCTATTCTAATCAATTTTGCCTAAACATTTGGTTCTTAAAGATTTTTCAAAGCTGTCAACATATGGCCCAGAATACAAGACATATTATGCTTCTTTCAAAATTATCAAGGGAAGCATGATAAAGTGTTTTCCTGTTTCCATCAATTTTTTACCTATCTATGTATTTGGTCCGGCTAAAAATCACCAGGTCCAGTAAGATTTGATATTTTACTGGCCCGAATGTCCTGTGCTTTTTAAAGTTTTTAGTGAAGACTGGTCATGAATTATAACAGTTACTAATTACTGAGAAGCTGCTAGAGAAATGAGCCGCGTAACGACAAAACTAACATAATTCGTTTGCGATCAGCATGGATCCAGACCATTGATCCATGCTGTTCACTTACAAACCCTATAACAAGTAGAGAAGCTGATAGCGAACAGCATGAATCCTGATCAGACTGCGCGGATGCGCAGGCTGGTCTGGATCCATGCTGTTCGCAAACGCAGTACGTTGTTTTTGTCGTGACGCAGCTCAAATAATGAATTTAAGCAGTATTATTACTTGCACTAGCAGTATATATACTGTAACTCTTGATGAAAGATTGTAAGAGCAAGATAGGATTTTTTTGTGCTGATTGAGTGTAATATCAGAAACTTTCTGTGACTCGTATAGCCATTGTATTGAAATACAGTAAACTCCACTTATAACAATATCACTTATATATGTGCTGTTTGCCATAGTCTTAACTCTTTAGTATTCGAATTGGTTGCCACTCGGATATAACAACATCCAGATATAACTACAATGAATATAAATTTGGTGGACTCCTGAATATCATTAATATCAGAGTTTACTGTATGTGAGTTTAATGAGGTGGTTGTTTATATTCAGTTGAAGTTTAATAGGTAATGACTAATGTATCTGTGTGCCTGTAAGTGATATTTTGTTATGGCCTGTCATAATGATCCAAAGGTCTCACTGTATGCCATAGTCCTGACTCTCTTGTACTCAAATTGGTCGCCTTTTGAATATAACGATATCCATATTTAACTGTATAAATTTGGTGGTCCCCTGAATATTGTTAATAGTGGAGTGTATCACAGTATGCAATTTTAATGAGCTGATTGTATAATGTATGTTGAAGTTTTAAACGATCATGACTAATGTATCTGTGTGCCTGTAAGGGATAAATGTTGTTGTGACCTGTCATAATTAAACATAATAATCCATAGGTCACACTAATGTTAATAAGTATAACATAGTTACACGTGTTTTATGATTGTGATATGATTATACTAGGAGCAAGTGTAGTTTACTACTTGTATATTATCATGTGTCCAATTTTATGAAATAACATGATCATTTCCTTATTATATCCCTTCAATGTTACTCGTGTAAATATGGGATAGAATCTAGTTTAGTGGACCCTGAAAATAACACAAGTGTGCATATGTTTCTGTAATTATCTGTAATGTTGTATTTTCTGTTAATAGAAGTTACTTTGAATTATACTGTTGGTTTAGACATGAGTTAATATGAAAAAAGCAGGAATGCATTAAGATGTGATCCAGTATATGTTATCACATGCCATACTGAAATTTGACAAATAGTTACATGGGCAGTTGTTAAGTAATTGGCAAGTTTCTTTAAAGAGTTTATTGTGACAGGTGATGTCATTGGTCCATTGTGTATAGTACATTTTGTATGTCATTAATTTCTAGTATTATTACAGTTAGATAACAATTTCAGGTTTTGAGTAATTGGTAATGAGTTTCCTTTTGTGGCTTACATGTAAATACTGGTAAATCTAGGAGACTGACTGGAGTAAATTATAGAACTTATTTCCTAACCAAGTTTGTATTTGTATCCTGTTTAAAGATATACAAATGTATTTTTGCTCAAATTGGATATTTGAAGGTGAAAAAAAGATAATTAATATACAGTCCCTTGTGAAATGTTGAACATCATTTGAATACACACAGAGAAAATATGTTATGTTTTAAACTAGATACTCACGATGGGTAATCTCAGTAAAATTACGTATAGTGTCTTTAAAAAAAATGGCAATTTTTATAAGAAAATACCAAATTAATTTGACAAGTAATAGGAAATGTAGCTTCCCAAACATAGTTTATACACTCACTTATTCAAATTAGACTTTTTGATTTATTTAGGAAGAGGTTACTAGATTTCAATAAATTTCTGCAATAAAAGTATTTTACTCAAAGATAAACATAGTATTATTCAATATTTTTGAAATAAATAAATCTTATAGAAAGTATTTTGTATCAAAATATCTTGTATAATTATAATGTAATTTGTGTTACTGTAAAAGAAATAAAACCTGTTGTCAAGTTATATAGAGATTATAAGGGAATGTATAATGAGATCAGCATTTTTACCTCGTTTTCAAGTAGGGATATTTTTAATTCTAAAGCAGAGTTATCTTCTGTGCAGAATATGATTCTATGTTCAAGAGAAACAGTTAATATATTTCGGTTTAAAATGGTTAGAATGTTGATTTTTTAAATATAAAAATATTGTATTTTTTCTATAAAAATGTGTGGTCATTTACATCTTAATGATGAGATTTCTCCAATTAAGAGATTTACCAGCATTGCACATGTACACTAGAAAACAGGAAGAAAAAATGCAGGAACAATTGTGTTTATATGAAATTATTCATTTGAGCCGCGCCATGACAAAACCAACATACTGTGTTTGTGACCAGCATGGATACAGACCAGCCTGATCAGGATCCATGCTGTTCACTACCAGTTTCTCTACTTGAAATAGAGTTTGTAAGCGAACAGTATGGATCCTGATCAGACTGGGCGGATGTGCAGGCTGGTCTGGATCCATGCTGGTCGCGAACGCCCTATGTTCGTTTTGTCATGGGGCGACTCATTTTATTTTTCTGCTTGAATTAACATTGAGTACATGACAAACTTGCTATTACTGATTATGTTTACATTTGTATAAATGAGCCGCGCCATGACAAAACCAACATAATGGGTTTGCGACCAGCATGGATCCAGACCAGCCTGCGCATCCGCGCAGTCTAATCAGGATCCATGCTGTTCGAATACAAACCGTATAACAAGTAGAGAAACTGATATCGAACAGCATGGATCCTGATCAGACTGCGCGGATGCACAGGCTGGTCTGGATCCATGCTGGTTGCAAACCCATTATGTTGGTTTTGTCATGGCGCGGCTCATATTAATTTTTAAGAAATAAAAGCATTAAAGAAATAAGTTTTGATTTGTGTTCCATTTCATTGTAGGTAGGCATCAATATCAGAATAAGCTATTAGTATAATGGAATGGTTTGTGTCTTGGGTATTTTCTTTACCAGGCATTTATCAAAGTACTGGATTCCTGAATTGTGACTTTCAGTAACTTTAAGCTCGGCTCCTGACGTGGGTTCGAATCCTGACAAGGGCTTTTATGTTAGGAAGCTAGCTTGCGGACCCCGTGGTTCTACTCGTGGTACCCGTCCGTGCATACTGCAAATACTGCACGGAATGGCACACAAAGTCTTTCTCCACCAGTAAAATGGCAAGTCTCCATATGACATACCATGTAGGTACGACATAAAACCAAACTACTTTAGTGAGAATCAAATAACCGCCTGTACTCGTAATGAAATTATCGCTTTATAGAACTGACCGATTATTACGTTGGCAGCAAAGATTATTGTTTACACTTTTGAGCGTTATACATGTATGTTAAATTTTATTCATGTTTACTGTTTATTTACAAAAGTGCATAAAAATATATAAACTTCTAGATCTAAATTCATTATTATGCATAACAATATATTTCATGAAAAATGTGAATGTAGCATCTAGCAATCCTCCATCATTCAACTTTTCTAATAAAAATATTACAATGATATAGACACATTCCGAACACACCCTCGCGTACATGAGCGCATCGCAATTTATTCATTCGCTATCACCTTTAACTTCAACACTCTTATAAAGCAAGTTTTGATAAGGTTGTGTTATAAGCAATTAAAAACAGACATTTTCCAGATACCAGATATTTCGAGGTCCGTTTACATAGTCTCCATTTTACTATGTAATATATCTAGGTAAGTCGAGCAAGTTATGATCTTAGATTATACAAAGTACATGTACAATTTTCTGATTCCAATTTGTGGTCCTAAGGTTCGTTTTCAAGGAATAGAAGCCATAGCTAGCTCCTTCACCAATACTAAGAAGTACACCAACGTGTGCAAATGATCAAACATCTATCTATACGTCCACTTCAATGTAATCTTCAATGTCTAATTGTACTGTAGGATACTTTTTCCTTAACAAGCTTGGTGATGGTGGGTTGTCTTCAGCCTTAAACTCTATATAATTTTCCGGTAACTCATCTGCACCAAAACTGGAGGATGGCGAGCTGTCTTCCAAGTTAAATTCAATATAATTTTCAGGTAACTCCTTTTTGATAACACTTGCATTCGGTGATGCGTCTTTGATTTTGAATTCAATATAATTCTCAGGTAAATCTTTCATAACAATACTTTCTGGACCAGAATTTTCCTCTAATTCAAACTCAATATAGTTCCCAGGTAAATCTTTCTTTAAAATACTTGCCGGTCGGACATTTTCTTCTAATTCAAATTCAATGTAGTTCTCCGGTAGCTCTTTCTTGACAATTCCGGTTTGCATATTTTCTTCCACTCCAAAGTCGTTAGTTGTTTCCTGTTTTATTTTTCTCGTAAGCCTTGCAGATGGCGGGTTATCTTCTGGTTTAAACTCTATGTAGCGATCATGTTCCATGTCAACATAATCATAGGTAAGCTTATCACTGTTGTCATTTTGTTTTGACCCCTTTGCAATTAGTTCAAACTCTTCCTCTTCAGTTAAAGGTTGAACAGACTCGCTTATGTCGTCACGAAACACGTCATTAATTTGTGCGTACGTGCTGTCACTTACCCACCAGTTTTCTATAGACTCGCTCGCAGTGCTACCTCTGCTTCTATCTGACGTCACCGAACCTTTGAAACCAGAGTCTCTGTCACTTGAGACGCTTGCATGTTTTCCAGAGGGACTTAACGAACTTACAATAGGCGGACTTGAGCAACTTAATGCGCTCTTCTCACAGTCTGTGACTTTCTTTTTAGGAAGGGACAATTGCAATCTTTTCCAAAATTTATCCAGTTTTTTTGAGCTGTTACTAGTGTCCTCAGTGCTTGGCCATTCCAGGTAAGTCACTGAACCAATGATACCTTTTAGGTTCTTATCAATGTCGGATACCTCGGAAATGTCTTCAAGCATAATCGGAATAATTCGGTGTTTTCTCTTCAGCATTTCTGTTTGGGCTTTTTGGTATTCAAACCTAGTGAATTCACTCTCCACGTATCGTGGAGTTAGGACCATGATGGTTCTTCTTGATCCTTCAACAGCATTTATAATATTGTTTGAAATTGCTGGAAACAAAAGAATATGTATATGTTTCTAAATAGTCAAAAGTGTCCGTAATAAATGCCCATTGTGAAAAGCATCTAGTTTTGTATAATGAACATTAGTCCGTAAGTAGAATAACGACCTCTTAAACAGAAATATCTGAACAGTCATACCCCGAGAATTATAACAAATGTAACCAGAAGCTCAAAGAAAAAGGGCCATTCTATCATAGCGACAAGTTTTGCTATGATATATAAAATGTTCTTGTTTCAGTATCATGATTATGGAATAGCAAAGCTACTACATTTGTAAAATTCTCTTGTAATTTTGTTGTGATTAATGCTTCCGAGGGATCACTTTGTTTCCAGATTTTTAAATTATTGCAAATGTCTCGAATTTTCTTTGGTTGACACGCTCTTTACCATCCCAGACTGCACCATTGGTCACTAAATAATAAAATAGCGACCTCGGGGGTAATATAAATCTCACTATATTCAACCGTATGTCCCGTCAAAATCTTATCTTACTAATAGTATATAAATGATAATTACTTTCTCCTGGTACGAAGTCTCTGAAATGCAAGCATAGTTTGAACCCCAGCTCTTTCTCCAGTTTAGGGTAGAGAACACGTACGACGAAATTTTCGTCCGTAGGATGAGACTTGTATGACACGAAAGCATCCCATTCTTTCTCATCTGAAATGATAAAGTATTTGATTCAAATCTGATTGATGCGGTAATAATTTATTATTTGTTTCCCGCATAACTATGGTGGCTGATTTACGCCATGTCGTATTTTCGCTTCTTCGCCGCAAAATGTGCCTCAGATGGAATGCGACTATATATACACGATATATTTTTTGTCGTATTTTCGCTTTTTTTGTCACGAAAATCCGAAATAGCGAACTTTAACGCCCCTTCGTGTTTTCGCAGGCGAAGAAGCGAAAATACGACATGGCGTAAATCAGCCACCATACATAACATTTATGGGTATTCCGGAACTTAAACAATCGGTATACCTCGACCGGAAATTGACGGAAATGTGTCAATCGTTCCGGTTGAGGAAGGTGCGACTGGTCTCTAAACTTTAATTAGTGTGCAGGAATAAGACGAGATTTGTTGAATATACGACGAGATGCTCTTACATAATTGATAATAATATATTGAATTGAATCGTTTGTAAAATCATATAGTTTGAATAGTAGCTAGTTGGGGTTAAGTCAAACAAAAGAAATCTTAACTAGATAATGTAAATAGATGTAAAAGAAGAATTAACTCAACAGTTTTAGTTGAAGAAGAATTGTTTTCTTAAAGGGACTCCATTGAGGTTTTTTGATTCTTCAAGGGACTCCATTGAGGTTTTTTGACATGATGGGACTGAAAATATTTTTGATGTAGGTTTAGACCACTAATCCTAGTGCAAAATTTAAGATCATTCGCGCACTTCATTTTTTCCAGAATAATAATTCAAATTGTAAAATGACAAGCGTTTAAACCATTTTCACTCAAATCGGGCTTAGAAAAACATAAAAATACGATTTTCAATTTATTTTATCTAAATTTAGTATATTACTTAACTATCTTTGCATGTATTTCTGTTTTAAGTGCCCCAGCTCATTCATGTAAGAAATCCAAATATTATGTTTTTAGACTATTAAACCTCAGTGGAGTCCCTTTAAGTAACCAAGATTATCATTAAAAGTATTATCATTTTATCTGGCATGCAATTTTTCAAACATATGTCATTTTACATCCATTTGCGTATTTAGACGAATTGTCCAACATTTATTGGCAGTTTAAACTTAATACTTAGATTAGTCACAACAATAAATAACAATAGCTGAACAAGTTCCAGAACATGGTGTCACAGGCCCGACAACTTTTGTTTCACTTCGGAAACACGAAAATAAGACAAGGGATTGGAATTTACACATCCTCTTTCATCACAAATACTGAAAAATAAGGTTTTTTATATTCAGCTTGTTTGTTTTATTTTAAACACATGCCATGTTTTGTTGAATGTCTAAATATTGAAGTCCTCGTGTTTGATATGTCTCAACTATATTCTCATCGTGTCATTTGGTTATGCTTCATAACTTTTTAAAACAACAATTAAATAGATATACTCACGGGCTATCGGTGGAAGATCATGCCGCATTCAAATTAATTATAAGAAATGATCCGTTAGTGGAAAAAGTGCTGTTTTTAAGTCAAAGTCGGGCAATTTAACTCATTAATTTACAGGTGGATTTCTAACGAATGTAATGTCCTTCACGCGCTTATATATATAAACCCTCGAGCCAAAGTCTATAAACACATTAGTATTAAAATTGGAATCCTTTGAATTGGCTTAGCTAAATGCATAAGGACGTAACTAAGAAATAATTTAAAAGAAAATTAGTCGACATCTTATTGTTTGGCATCATTGACCTTGGCCATTTAAATACATGTATATTAAGTGACCTTTATGTACTCTGGTGTTGTCGGTTCCCGAAATAGTATGAACTTTTTTTTTCTTATGTAAGTATCCATTATATACATATATATTAAGTGACCTTTATGTACTCTGGTGTTGTCGGTTCCCGAAATAGTATGAACTTTTTTTTTTCTTATGTAAGTATCCATTATTCATTTTAAAAAGAAATTTAATTTTGAGAATTTATACTTAGTTTTTTTTACAATTTTATGGACGAAAATTTCCCACGAGAACTGCATTTTACGAGGGATACTAACATAATAAGATTGACCAATTAGTTAGATACAGACCCGAAGACATACAACGTGGTATTAAATATTACACTCCGTCGACGTTTTCATCAAGACCTTTTTCAGGGCACAAACTGGTAGTGTGATTTATATTAAGTGGTGTCTTACCGTCATCTTCATACGCCTGGAAATAGTGGACTATTTTCATGACTAGGATAACTCTGTGTTTCCACATAAAGTATGGACCAACAACCGCTAGGGTGACCAGTATGACAAATGTCGCTACACAGACACCAACAACCCACATATACCACGTGTCCTCAATCATCTCTGTAGGAAAAAATCAGTATTTTCGCGTAACATTCGTGTGCATGTCATAATATGTAAACAAGTTTTTGATTTTTTTTTCTGTTTTTATACATTTATATTCAGTAAATATGCACTTCCTTGTATATTGTGGTTTTGCTAGCCGTTCATATTTCACCAATTTCACCAAAAAGACGTGTTATTTTATATACATGTATTTATAAAGCTTATTAAAGTTGAGAACAAAGCAAAGGAAAACACTTAAGCCTATGTCAGATAGCTAAGCATTGAGGTTTTTAACCACTGTCTTTTTGCATTAGTGGAAAAGATGATTTTAAAATATTTTGTTAGTATATATTTAGTACTACAACTAGTACTATAACATTATTTTCAAGCAAGAAATGTTTTTAGTCATTTTTAGATACTTACTAACAGGATCAGGCAGAAAAATCTCACAAAAGAATCCGGTATATCGTCGTCTGCAGTTACAATGTTCCGTGAGGTTATCTCCGTCAGGGCGAAGGTCACATTTGCCGTTCTCCCCACAATGCAAGCAACATTTATTTTCACAAAACAGACCTGTTCATCAAAAGAAACAACATTTTGAAGCTTCCATTTTACATTTTGAAGCTTCCATTTGTTGGAAATAAAGTGGAATTCTGTATAAGCATTAAAGTTATATACATATAAAATATTACCAAGCGTTCATCGGAATGAGAATACAGTTACTGGAGACCAGGGACGGTTTTCTAACTTCCGGTTCCGGGGTGCTTAGGAAATTTTAGTTGACGACGTATGCGACCAGCCTCATGAGCGGTGAAGCTGGCCGGTGTGAGGGTCCACCCCGGAGCATTTGGAAAATGGTGCATTGTTGTGCTCCGACACTCAAATATCTGCCAAAATTAGAGTAGTTTTCAGAGTCAGAGATGTTCCTCTTTTTATTTTTGTCGATATTGAAAGGTTCGTAAAAGACGTCATGATATTTTCCAAAGTTGGCGTATAATACACGCGAGTATCCGTCTATGAAGTGCTTCATTGACTTACGAGCAAAGCCTTGCCTTGAGACTAGTGTTACGAACATGAAAAGAGGAGTTAGTCGTTACAATATTTATGCACAGTTCATGCATGGCACGTGCATAAACGTAATGCAATTTTAAAAAAAAACGGTTGATGCTAAAAGTAAAATATAAAATGGAGAAAATAAGAATCTTTAAAGAAAGTCCAAAGCAGCAAATTTGAACATACATGCATACTGTAAATATAGTCATTCATAATCTGTCTCATTTATGAAATTAACATAAAATGAAAACCTAAATATCACCTTCTTATCGCGTATGTAACGTTTATGAAAGTCTTTATATACATGTACATGAAATGTATGTATACATTGCAGTATATAATTACTTAATACCTCTTGCTCCATAATCGCAGCTACACGTTGTGTTATACCCGGTCCAGGTTCCATAATCTATAAGTGTCTCATTACAAACACCATACACGCATTCAATGCCTTTAACATGTTCACACGTTCTCTCTTCTTTACTTCTTTCAATATAGTCTTCGTCACAAACGTTGTATTTTGCATTAAGGCTGTTTTCAATGATAGTATCATTTTCAGACTTCTCAAGACTTTCAGTTATTTCAACATGCTTTGTATGCAATGGCTTCCCTGCTTGCTGAATGTCTACTCCTGTATTCTTCTCCTTTCTAGCTAAACTTAATACTGAATTATTTTTCAGTGTTTTAAACACATCCATTTTGTTTATTACAAAACCAGATATATTTTTTGGATGTCGATCCCCTTCTTCAGTATGTAAACGCTTTTTGTTTTCTACTTTCGATAGCTTTTCGTGAAAACTTTCAGTTAACGACTTAAGGAAATCGTCATCTATCACTGAACCGAAGGTACCACAATTCTCGCCAAACCAGCCATCGTTACAATGGCATCGAGTTGTACCAAACGGCGCAGGAACACACTCGCCATGCATACAGACTTGACCTGAGCACTCAGTTAAGGTCGTCTTGAATGTGACACCTCTTAGATCTCTGTTCTCGATTTCTTCACTGGTGTTTCTTTTTTCTGACTCGTACTGGCATCGACCGCCATAATAACCCTTAGCGCATGCGCACTTTGATTTGCAAGTGCTTGGATCAGTGACGCATTCGCCATCATTTTCGCATTTTTTACCCAAAGTCAAGCAGGTGTCAGCATTACAATCACTGTCTGGTGTTTCTCTTTCTAAAGGGTTAATGGTTACGTTCTGTTGTTTTACTTCTATTAAAACCGACTTTACAACTGCAATAATGCAGAAATAGCACGAAAATCTTGTCAAATTTAGCATTGTTAAAACATAAGATAATTAACATGAACAGAAACATTTGTTTACGTCAGGAAGTCAAAAAAGTAATGCTTATCAAGTAATGTATTCTTTTATCGCCATAAAACTCAGACTTTAAATGGTAGTAAACAGAAGGTTTGTACATGGACCAGTATCAGTTCTTAAATAACAATGACATAAACACTTTGAAAAGTACAACAAACTTTATAGAGATATCATAATTTATACTGTCCAATGTTTTCTGTTCTGTTTTGCAAGTCGTCCGTACTGTTTTTGCAAAATAACAAAAACAAATCTGAAGGATGACATAGAAATCTTGACCACTTGTGTCATTTCATTGTTTAAGTTATATTTATGATGTATATACACGTATAAAGCAAAGCCTCTCCACGCGAAATATGTGATCTCCTCGTCGCCTATGTTTGTAAACGCCTACACGCTATTCACATAACTTTTCTTTTCCTTTATTCACTTTTCTGTAACTCCACTTGCAGAACTAATTTAGTAATTTTGATTGTTTTCCATTCCACTCACTACATGTGTGTGTATTTTTTTATCTCGAAAGATGAACTGTTCAAATATAAGACATTCAAATAGAAGACCAAGACATTTATTTATTCATTTCAAACTGTTTCAGATTGTGATTTATTAAAACGTTGTCATCTGCATATTAATTATGTATTTATTCAACTCCTATCTAGTGTCTTTGATGTCGAATAATTAGCGGAAAACAGATTATATCCAAATTAGTTGACACGAATAAGATGTTAAAGATGTGAAGAGTTATGTCCTTTATCATCAAGCAAAACATGTTTCTTTATACAAATTTTAAAAATAAAATCATTTCAAACGAAATCATTTCAATCCTGCATAACACTGAATGTTTATTAAGAAAAATTATAACACAATACACTGAACAGACAAGGAAAGAGAATGTCTCCCTGCTTTAAACCGCGTTCGTCATAAAATAACACAAGACAAGTGTATATATATATAGAGCGACTAATTAATTACTTGTCAAATGTTAACTGTCACTCAAATGAAGACAATAGTACGTCATATTGTTTTTAAAGCAAAAAAAAAATGTTCGTCAATATTCAGTTTGACCTGAAAAATATGCGTGTGACATTTAACTTTTTATATCGTTACCCATGTAAATGGATTTCATATACTTGACACGTCATTTTAATAGGATTTTTCAAGTTTAAAAGTAAAGTAAGTTTTCATTTTACATTGTAGGTATCAAGGGATGTTCGGAAAACGAAGACTTTCTTTATAAAATCCAAACGCGACACAGGAGAAGCCAAAAAAAGTTGCACTTAAATGATTACCATGCATTAATTCCTCATCCGAAGGTCCCATAAAGATATTAAAAGAATTGCAGATGGTTGGGTCATATGGCCTAGAATTGCTATAGTAACAGTGCTACCCCCCCCCCCCCCCCCAAGGCAACCAAAAATTAATAGATGTCTATTTAACAAGAAATTTTGCAGTATTGTAAAATTGTTACAAAGACCTTATATGGGCATGCTATGTGAACTTAACAACCGTTAGAATGCTATGAAGCGAGATAACTTATGAAATATCTTTTTAAAATTAAATAATGGTAAAAAATAATTATAGTCTATTTTTGAAATATTTGTATCATAGAATATCTCTGTTATTTTACACGCATATGACTATTGCACGTAAAATGAATAATAATTATGTTCCGGAACAAATTACATGTATGTTGCTTTTTTAAGTAGGATTAACCGTTTAACAATCATTTCATGCATACACCAATCGCTCTTAAAGAAATATGTAGACATATTTATTTCATAAAGGTATTTTGGATTTTTTATCATTTTTTTGTAATCTACAAGCAGAAGATTAACAGCTTTTAAATATACTTTAATACTGCTTTATATATAAATTGTAACTTGTAAAATAATTTACAACCAATATATAATAAAATCTAAACGTCTCATGAAACTACAGGATTTTGATGTTGTAAGAGTAATTACATTTACTGCATGTTAAGATTTACATTTCGTGTCAGTTCGTCTGCATGTAAGATTTATTTACGGACAGTTAAGAGTTTGAAATGCCAGTAACAGTGTGTTTAAATATATATATATATCTACTTTGTCATCAATATTTAATATTTAACACGTTTAACTCTGGTGTCAAGGACATTTTCTCGTGCACATCAGTACATGCACATCAGTTTGATTAACACAATATGTTAAACCTACGAGTACGTGGCATGGAATAAAGTTCATGCCTTATAAATGGAATGAGTAAACTTTTGAGAGCAATATATATATATATCTAATAAGATTAATCATTTAATTATTAAGAACAAAGGGACAGACTGCGATTTAATACTCGGACCACCTAGGGAATTAAATACCTTAAACCTCAAAGTCCTTAGTACAGTCTTAAAAGATAAAAATAAAAGTCAATTTCATTTATTTGACGTGTCGGTTTACACTTAGGGTAGGGGGTGTATCAGATCTTATATAGGGTCTTGTCCATGATCTGGGACATGCATGTAATTTTATTGAGAAAGAAATGATCCAATTCATAAATTGACCACCATAATAATGTATGAGTAACAAAACTATATGAGCAACGTTTCTTTGTTGTATTATAAATTTCTTGTCCCCGCATTTTTTATATTGTTATTGTATGCATATATATAAATTTACCTTTATATCTATGCAACGACAAAAAAGTTGGATGAAGAATTATATAACAGAATATGTTAAGTACTGGGAAATTCAGTGTCTTTGAATCACACATTTAGTCTGCGATTTACATATGTTCAGTATATAATGTATTATTATTTTTTTGCTTCCCTTTCATACCAGACAATATGAAGGCTACACATATTTCAAAGTTTTTATCTCATATACGCTATATTTATGTGTGAGAAGTTGAAAGATGTTAGAATAACAGACATGCTACATGCAGTAGCTAGATCGCTGACGTGGCCTGTGTATCAAACATGTTTAAAAATACTTCTTCTTTCGTTACAGATATAGCGTCGGTGGTGTAAAGGTTAGCATGGTTGCCTTCCAAGCAGTCGATCCGGGTTCGATTCCCGGCCGACGCAGATACTTTTTAATCGACGAGTATTTTTTTTTTAAATTACCATTCGTGTGATGATTTATATATAATTCTATAATTTCCTATTATGAATACCAGTCTAATTATCACGTTGCTAAGGCCGCCATGTTTTATTTTTTTAAACAAACAAACGATATTATTATAATAATACAAAATATTTACACAAATAATACAAATACAAATATTTTTATTTCTCTCAAACCAAGAAATTGACAAATATAAGCCGCGTCACGACAATACCAACATAATGGGTTTGCGACCAGCATGGATCCAGACCAGCCTGCGCATCCGCGCAGTCTGATCAGGATCCATGCTGTTCGCTTACAAACCCTATTATAAGTAGAGAAATTGATAGCGAACAGCATGGATCCTGATCAGACTGCGCGGATGCGCAGGCTGGTCTGGATCCATGCTGGTCGCAAACGCACTATGTTGGCTTTGTTGTGACGCGGCTCAGTTATATAAGCATACAGGGGGAGTACCTTGGGTACTTTTAACATACAAAGCAAGGGCATGAAATAAATTTATACGTGTAATATGCATTTGATTTTCATTAAATGAATTTTTCAAAAATATCCTTAATAAATATAGTAATATAGTATATAAATATTGTATAACGTTAGAAATCAATCAGTAATTGGTATTTTACAACACAAAAATTGAACATCATGTGAAAATAATCTGTCAAAATATGACGTGAAATTTTGCTTCTATAAACACTTGGTTTTTCACCAATATGTAGTCAAAAATGTGTTCTATCGACCATCCATTCGTGTGTAAGTGATCCGGCCACTGCAAAGTGCCCAGTTTGAGTTCGAAAAGGTCGCAGCGCCATTATAAGCGTACGATATATTGGCAACAACCAATAGTAAACAACAGCGCCCTGACACCATTTTTAATCCTATAGATGAAGAAAACTATAGAACATCTAGAACCTTAAATATATTTATGTGCAAGCCTCTGTGCCACTTTAGGGCATCGAACTTGTTGTTTGAAGCTGAGCGTCCCTACATATATGCATGAAAGCCCGTTTTGCCACGTTCCTCTAACTTGTTTCTTGCACAGCGCCGTCATCTCACGTGACACACCACGTAACCTGTAAAACCTTACTTCTTTCCAACACTATAAGGACGCCTACAACAACTCCCGGTGTAGAATATCCAAATTATTTTGCATGAGTTTCCATACGATCTTTAGTATACTTAATCTTTTTCCAATAGAACTGAACTTGAAAACAATCTGTTGTAATATCAACGTTTAGGTGCAAAAAAATTATTATACTAGAAAATTGCGAGTTAGTAAATAAACTTTGTTTGCTGGTGATAAAATCCAACATGTTTTTGGAATAAACAATATAAAACAGGCAAATAACTTCTGCGCTTTTCCTTTTCCTACGCTTATTAAGCCCATATATTTCAAGCACGTGTAATTTATTTCCCCGCCGCTTTAGGGCTTGGCTGCGTGACAAAAGGGGGATAATTTATCAAATGAAGAATTTTTTTGGTAATATAATAAATTAGTTAATGAATGAATGCAGATTTCGTAAAATATCAGATAGGTAAGATTACATACTCACCTCATCATTTACCATCGGTGCGGTATATACTCACCTCATCATTTACCATCGGTGCGGTATATACTCACCTCATCATTAACCATCGGTGCGGTATATACTCACCTCATCATTTACCATCGGTGCGGTATATACTCACCTCATCATTTACCATCGGTGCGGTATATACTCACCTCATCATTTACCATCGGTGCGGTATATACTCACCTCATCATTTACCATCGGTGCGGTATATACTCACCTCATCATTAACCATCGGTGCGGTATATACTCACCTCATCATTAACCATCGGTGCGGTATATACTCACCTCATCATTTACCATCGGTGCGGTATATACTCACCTCATCATTAACCATCGTGCGGTATATACTCACCTCATCATTAACCATCGGTGCGGTATATACTCACCTCATCATTTACCATCGGTGCGGTATATACTCACCTCATCATTTACCATCGGTGCGGTATATACTCACCTCATCATTTACCATCGGTGCGGTATATACTCACCTCATCATTTACCATCGGTGCGGTATTTTTGTTACAAAAGTCTCGTGAGGAGTTCTTTAGTAATTTAGTTAAAAATACTCCAATTACAAATATTGGGTGTGCTTTTCAATGGTGATAATTTTAATTTTATGTACCTGCAAGCTCAGGCATACTCTTTTGCAAAAAGAGATTGAAGGATGTAACAACTTTGGTAGAACGTCATAATACTAATACTGAGCATAACAATATGCGAAAACTAAAGTTGGTGACTGACTTAACATAAGGGAATGTTTCCCATATTTAAGGACACAGACTATTCTTGGGTTTGTGTACCTTTAAAGTATACACTAGTTTTCTTTATGAGGACGAATCAACTGACGTAGTGACATTCATTCTTTGCATTACAAAAGATGCACATCATTGTCATCTTTCACTATAATCTCAGTTTACTTCTTCGTGTTCTTTCAAAGCAATATTAACAATAACACACTAAGCATTGACTGATGTAAACCATTTCACTTAAAGTAAAAAATATAATTAAGCATATATGGTATACATTTGTATTTTAAAATGGCTTATTATTTTATCAAAACAAGATAACTCAGTAATAGTTATATATTACTATGTAATTGTGTAACCTCCCTTCACTTCCTATTTTTAAACTGAGAATCTCTAGCCACATGTGTTAAAAATTCATATATAATTACAATTTTGTTATCATACATGTAGCATAACATAAATCTTGGCGAATCCCCGATCATCTATAGAAACTGCTGAACAAGAAGTCTGTCGGGGTTATATTTGCCATTTTTGATGAAACTCTAGTAATGCGAGTCCTGCTCAGGATTTCTGGCCACACACCGGCCTCTCAAATCCGGTGTACACAACGGGCAAATAGAACTAAATTTCTATTTAACTCAATAAACCCCGTAATCAGCGGCGTTT